ACAGATGAAGAGCTCAGAATAGGCCTAGAATGGAAATGGGAACTTGCCAGTTATCAGATTACTACTGCTGCTGAAGCTACAGGTAGAATGTTACTTGACTGCTTGTAGAAAATATACTCAAAATGTCAAAATGTTCAAGGACAGAATCATGAGAATCCAATAGTCAAGGAGGAAAGTTTTCTAATAGTGTGGGTGTTGTGGCAGGTGCCTGTAGCCCCCGCTACTTGGGGGACTGAGGCAAAGAATCAGTTAAGCCCAAGAGTTTGAGGCTGCTGTGAGCTGTGACACCACAGCACTCTACCAACGGTGATAATAGTGAGACTCTGTCTCAAAAAAAAAAAAAAAAAATTAGCCAGGTATGGTGTTGCATGCCTCCAGTCCTAACTCAGGAGGCTAAGGTAGGAGAAACACTTGAGCCCAGTAGTTCAAGGTTAGAAAGGTTACCATGAGCTATTATCAGACCACTGAACTCCAGCCTTATAGAAAGAATGAGACTCCATCTTTGGAAAAAAGGGGGGAAAAATCCCCACAATTATAAAGCCTAATTAAAATAAAATCAATATTGGTACATGAATGCAGACTGGAAGATAGAGTTCAAAAACAGACCAAATAAATGTGATAATCTGGTTGATCAAAGTGGCATCTTTTGTGTGTGTGTGAGACAGAGTTTTATCTTCTTGCTCTCAGTAGAGTGCCATGGCATCATAGTTCACAGCACCTTAAACTCTTGGGCTCAAGTGATTCTCTTCCCTTAGCCTCCCAAGTAGCTGGGACTAAAGGCGACTGCCACAATGCCAGCTATTTTTTTTAGAGACAAGGTCTCGCTCTGGCTCAGGCTAATCTTAAACCTATGAGCTCAAGCAATCCACCTACCTCAGTCTTCCAGAGTGCTAGGATTAAAGACGTGAGCCACCGCGCCTAGTCTTTATAAACAGTTTCTAGAAGGAAAAGGCATCCCACAGAAAAATGGGGGAAAAGGAAACAAATAGGCAGTTTCCAGATTAATCCATGTGGCCCTTTAAACATAAGACATTCATTCTCACTGATTTTTAGGGGGTTAAAGTTAACCTATATTGAGTTATCAAGTGTTACTTATATCTTAGGTCAAAAAAAAAAAAAAAAATTCAACACCACACGATGGTTGAGGTTCTAGGAGAAAAGGTACTCTTTCACAATGCCAGTGGGAATATAGGCAATTCCATTATACTTACCTACTAGGCAATTCCTCGTGTCGCCGTCAACTTTAAAGATATGCCTGCATAAGTATAAAATGACATAGATAAAAAAAAGTTACTCTTCACTGCATTGTTAGTGAAAACTAAAAACTGGAAATAATACAAATATCACACAACAGGGAATTGAATGAGTCAACTATGATACATTCACACAATGGGATCTTATTCATACAGCAGTTAAAAAGAAAAAAAGAAAAGATAATTAAGAAAGGACATTTGGGCCGTGCCAAGTGGCTCACACCTGTAATCCTAGCACTCTGGGAGGCTGAGGCTGGTCGATTGCTTGAGCTCATGAGTTCAAGACCAGCCTGAGCAAAAGGGAGACCCCGTCTCTACTAAAAGTAGAAAAACTGAGGTAAGAGGATTGCTTGAGCCCAAGAGTTGGAGCTTGCTGTGAGCTATAACACCGTGACACTCAACCCAGGCTAACAGCTTGAGACTCTGTTGCAAAAAAAAAAAAAAAAGGAGAAGAAGAAGAAGAAGAAGGGCCATCTGCAAGACATATTGTTAAAGAGTAAAGTGAAGTATACATGATATGAAGTATACAAGGTGACATGTATATGGGAAACAACCTTTACTGTAAGGAGGGTGGGGAACAGGAGTGAAGAAAAAACATGCCAGTCACCTAACAAGCAAAAAACCCATTTGAAGGATAAATAAGAAACAAACAAGAAACTATGTTTACATGGGACAAAGAAAATTGACTGAGGGAGGAGAGCAGAATGAGGTATCTCTCTGTAAGATATATTTTTGTTGAAAATCATAAAAATGAATTACTTTTATAAGTAATCAAATTCATTTTCTTTTTTTTTTTTTTTTTTTTTGAGACAGAGCCTCAAGCTGTCCCCCTGGGTAGTGCCGTGGCATAGCTCACAGCAACCTCCAACTCCTGGGTTCAAGCGAGTCTCCTGCCTTCACCTCCCAAGTTGCTGAGACCACAGGCGCCCGCCACAATGCCTGGCTATTTTTTGGTTGCAGCCATCATTGTTGTTTGGCGGGCCCGGGCTGGATTCGAACCTGCCACCTTAGGTGTATGTGGCTGGCGCCTTAGCCACTTGAGCCACAGGCGCCAAGCCGGAGTCCAAGAGTTTGAGGTTGCATTGAGCAAATTCATTTTCTTAAGAAAACCTGTTGCTTAACTTAAATGAACCCAACTGTTCATTAATTTAGTAACAATTCCTCAGAGAAAGTACATCAAGTAACTTTAGAATAGAGAATCTTCTCTTTAACTCTGTATCTTTACTGAGATACATTCTTTCTTTTTTTGAGACAGAGTCTCAAGCTGTTGCCCTAGATAGAGTGCTCTAGTGTCACAGTTCACAGCAACCTCAAACTCTTGGGCTTAGGCAATTCTTTTGCCTCAGCCTTCCAAGTAGCTGGGACTACAGGCACCCACCATGATGGCCAGCTATTTTGTTGTTGTTGCAGTTATCACTGTTGTTTTTTTAGCTGGCCCAGGCCAGGTTCCAACGCGCCAGCCTCATGTATGTGACTGGCACCCTACCCACCCTGCTTAAGGGCACTGCCTAGTGAGATACATTCTAAGGACAAAAATACCTACATACATTAAGTACATTAAAGAAATTTTTAACATGATACAGTATGTTTATGGTTACTACTAGTATTGGTATGGTTACATTGAGATAATTTTCTTTATATTGCAAGGATAAATAAAGTTAAGTACTTACTGTAACTTGTTTTAAATTTTTTACTACAAAAAGTAGCTAGAAGCTAAGAATTTAGGGAAAAATACCACACCATTTAAAAAGAATTAGAAATAGTAATATGAACTCATGATTTTTAAAAATCCTGGCCTTAATACAATGTTACCCCTGGACAATGAGCACACCTTAGATAACATTCTCTAATACTATTCTCCAATAAAGGAACCAGAACTCCTTGGAGAAATGGTCAATTCCAGGTCTAGGAAGGAAGGCACAGGTGAGCCTGAAGTGTATGAAAGCTTTCAGAGACAAAAAATTGCCAGGTCAAAATGAGAAAAAGAGATGGCTTCAAGGAGTATCTACTGGCATCAAAAAGTGTAGTTGACTAGAGCACACTAAATATTTATACAACTTTAATATGACACTTAAAAAATGAAAAAGCCAGGAAAAATTTGGTAACATTTGAGGTAATCAAATAAACATAAAATGAATGAAAAGACTAGACAATCATCACTTTACACACCCTGTAGATATTTACTGATTCAACCATGCATTATTTATTGGTGTTAAAATCATCCATTAAATGACTGACAGGGAATGGACCAAAATAAAACCACACAGATTACATTTTAGTTATAACGTAGTTACAAGAAATAAATAATCACTAATGATGGACCAGCTACACAGTATGTCTCTCCTGATATGATGCAATTTCAAATTGATAAGATCATTTCATTCTGGACAAGAATGAATCACAATTAGAATCTTTTTTAAATGTCACCAGAGATTCTAAATTAGAACCATGTGAAAGTAACCATCCCAGAAATCAAAGAACAAATTTCATGAAAGAAGTATGTTTCTAATGATGAATATAACTTTAACAGAGAACTCTAACTTCCTCATCCCAAAGGAAGGAAATGTCCAAGCTGGTGCCCGCCTGGAGTCTCAGCTACTTGGAGGCAGAGGCAGGATTGAGCCAAGAAGTTTCAGATCAGCCTGGGCAACATAGCAAAACCTACTCCCATTTTTTTTTTTTTTTGAGACAGAGCCTCAAGCTGTCGCCCTGGGTACAGTGCCGTGGCATCACAGCTCACAGCCTCCAACTCCTGGGCTCAAGCAAGTTTCCTGCCTCAGCCTCCCAAGTAGCTGGGACCACAGGTGCCCGCTACAATGCCCGGCTATTTTTTGGTTGCAGCCACATTGTTGTTTGGCGGGTCCGGGTTGGATTCGAACCCGCCACCTTAGGTGTATATGGCTGGCGCCTTAGCAGGTTGAGCCACAGGCGCCGAGCCACTCCCATTTTTTTTTTAAAGTAAATTTAAAGAAAAACTCTTTTACCTACTCCCATTTTTTTTTAAGTAAATTAAAAAAAAACTGTTTAGGCTTGGCACTGGTAGTTCAGTGGTTAGGGCACTGGCCACATACACCAGGGCTGGTGGGTTTGAGCCCAACCTGGGCCTGCTAAACAATAACTACAACAAAAACATAGCCGGGTGTTGTGGTGGGCAAGTCTAGTCCCAGCTACTTGGGAGGCTGAGGCAAGAGAATCCCGTAAGACCTAGAGTTTGAGGTTGCTGTGAGCTGTAATGCCACGGCATTCTACCGTAGGTGACATAACAAAAACAACAAAAAGAACTCTTTAAAGTTAAAAATTTTAAATATATATTAATATGAAGCCAGTTAATTAATAAGTGCCCACACAGGAGAAAAAATTCAAGTTGGGAGGTGGGGGGTGAAGATGGAGGGGGGGCTCTCACTCAGTGGACACAATGTAGGGATATATGGCACACCTCCCGGGGCAGGAGGGACAACAGGGACCTACTACCCTACAACAGGGACCTACCAAAGGCAAACAGCAAACATGGTAACCTAATCGTTTGTACTCTCACGTTAATCTGAAATGTAAATGCTATTTAAAATTTAAATGCTTAAATTTTTAAAATGTGTCACACTTGGGTGCCCACCTACCACACCTCAACTGCTTTACTACCTATTGTAGTTTGTCTGTTTTTCCAAATGGAATTCTGAATCAACTTACTATGTTCCAAAGGAAAAAACCTGTCCATACTTTTATTAGGATCGCATTAAATTAATAAAGTTACTTAAGTCACACACACTTCTTTAGGTCTCACGGTAATATTTATTCACATATTATGGCCCTTAGAGTAATATTTATTTTAAAGTTCTTTTATAATAGTCTTGCATTTTTTTAATTTATTCCTCAATATTTTATCATTTTATTGTTATATTAGTTTTCTTCAGTTATGTATTCTAAGTAGTACTCTTTGCAAATCTGAAAGCTATTTATATGTAGAAAATTAGTACCCAACTACTTTTAACTTTTTATTATTTAAAACTATGTGAAAGACGACTATGGGTGATTTCCTCAGAAAATACATCTTAGCAAACAGAAGTAGTTTTCTCCATAGTAGCCCACAAAATGCATACAACTTGAGAAATTTCGATTCATTAAGGAATTAGGACACTTAGGATTTAGTCCAGTCTCATGGATAAACACAGCAACAACTAAGATTTCTTCAAGAAACGAGGCTGTGCCTAATCTAGAACCCTTGACTCCCTAATCCTGCGTGTTCTGCATTCTAAGTCACTGCTTCCCAAAATGTAACGCTATGAATGAAGTTTAGGGCTTCGCCTAACATCCCTATTAAAGTATCTCAAAGACCCGGGGATTTGAACAGTCTGAAGCAGGCACTTCGTTAAAAAAAAAGTTTTAAAAATATTCTTGTCTAAAAAAAAAAAAATCACGGTAATTTACATACTACCCCTATCTAAAAGAAATCCCTTTTTATATAGAAATCCATTTTTAAATTATTCATCATTTTTGTTTTCCACCCCATCGGATGTTCAAGTAAAACAGATGCTCTGAGAAGATGGCACCGTTATAAGTACCAACACTTCCGACAAGGGAAGTGCGGCTCGCACGTTATACCTCCACGCTGATCTCCCAAATCTCCTTCGTAGGCACAACCACACACAATCCTGCACCCACAGTTTCATATTCACTCAATCCCAAACATCAGGTCAAACTTTGCGGTCAAACTCAGGGTCACACACGCTCAAACCCGCCTCACAGGCCCCCACCTCCGCCCACACCTAGGCCAGAAGCTCTTCCACCGACTCCCTCCCCTCGCGCCGCGCCCCTAGAGATCGGGAATCCTCCCCATCAACCTCCCAGGCCCGACCGACCCGAGACGCCCAGATCCCACCTCCTACTTTCGCGCCACGTGGAACCAGGGGCCGTACTGACCCGCGGACAAAGACCAAAATGTCCACTCGGTGCGCTGCGTCTGCGCACTCCAAAGACGAACGAGCACTCCCAGAAGTCTGCGCGACGCGGGCCGGCTCTGTCAGCGCGGCCAGGCCCAGGCTGGTATGTGCTTACCTTCCTACACCAGCTCTGGGGCTTTTCTGGTCTTGGACTACACTTCCCATAAGGCATTGCTGGTCGACTGTGTTTCTCTGTCCGCCCTTCCCCCCTTCAACTTGGCTGCTTCTTCCTGTGATTACATATGGGAAGTTATGCTTCCTTGGAGTCCGATGAGCTCAAGCCTCCTGGGAGCTTTTGGGTGGGAGCTATTTGGCCTCGCAACAGCTACCTTTGTGAAGACTCCCAGACTCAATGTCAAAACGGGCCATGCCCAGACTCAGAGGTGAGTGGACGCCATCTTGTCCGAGCCCGGTCTGGCTCTGGACTACTTTTCCCAGGGTCCACAGCGGCCCGACATTACGCCTCGCTTGACGCCGTGGCGAAACCATTACCTCCGCAAGGACCCGGACGCGACCAGGGGAGGCAGAAGGTGAGGGGTCTGGGAGTCCGGGGCGGGGACGGGGCGTGTCCGGAGCCTCGGGTCTGTGCGCACAGTCGGGAGCGGGCTGTGCATAAGTGATTGTAAATGTGTCTTTGCTTGTGACTTTGTGGCCCGATGTGGGTACCTGTGAGTGTGCGGTTGTACCCACCTGTCTCCAGGGTGTGTGTCTGGTTGTTTTAGTGTAACTATATATGATGCTCTATATTGGGGTGTAAGGTCATTGACACCGCGTTCTGTTGTGTATGTTTGCCTATACGTCTTGTTCTTTGGGGTGTGAATGTAACTGTTGTAACTGTGCTCGTGCAGGTGTCTGTGCGGTTATGATTGCATGTGTGCAAGGTGGGTGTATGTTTTGGTTGTATGACATCGTGGCCGTGTGTATCACTGTGTGCAGTTGCCATATGCCTGTGATTATGTGGTAACATGGCGTATATATTCCTCTTGTGTCCCTTGGAGGAGGTGAGAAATGGTAACTGTTTAAGTGTGTGATGCGGTCTGTGTGGGTGTGGGATTTCTTTGGGTCATTGTGACCCTTGTGTGTCTCCAGAGTAAATGTTGAGATATGACTGGGTGATGTAAAGTACCAGTGATGTGTGTGTCCCCGAGTAGGTGTCTGTGATTATGGAGAGGATTTGGGGGTGTTTGCCCGTGACTATATGTGGGAGTGACTGTATCACAGTGGTAATTAGATCGTGTGACTATGTCTTCTTAGTGGGTGTGTGATTGTGACTCTGTGTGAGGTTATGGAGGTGTCTGTGACTATGTGGTTGTGTCCTTTTGTGTGTCTTTTTTTTTTTTTTTTTTTTGAGACAGCGCCTCAAGCTGCCACCCTGGGTAGAGTGCTATGGCATCAAAGCTCACAGCAACCTCCAACTCCTGGGCTCAAGCGAATCTCCTGCCTCAGCCTCCCGAGCAGCTGGGACCACAGGTGCCCGCCACAACACTCGGCTATTTTTTGGTTACAGCCGTCATTGTTGTTTGGCGGGCCTGGCCTGGATTCGAACCCGCCACCTTAGGTGTATGTGCCTGGCGCCTTGGCCACTTGAGCCACAGGCGCCGAGCCTCCTTGTGTGTCTCAAGAGTGGATGTATGGGGGCGGTGCCTATGGTTGAGGGGATAGGGTGCTGGCCCCATATACCGAGAGTCCTGGGTTCCAACAGGGCCCCAGCCAAACTGCAACAAAAAATAGCCAGGCGTGTAGCAGGTGCCTGTAGTCCCAGCTACTCGGGAAGCTGAGGCAAGAGAATCACCTAAGCCCAAGAGCTGGAGGTTGCTGTGAGCTGTGACTTCATTGCACTCTACCGAAGGTGACAAAGTGAGATTCTGTCTCTTTAAAAAAAAAAAAAAGTGGATGTGTGGTTATGTTTGTGTGACATTGTGACCATTTGTACAGCACCAAGTGTGCCAGGGACTCCAGTGCTCTGATCCCTTCAGAACCTATGAAGTCAGGACAGATTCTCGTCCTGGACAGTAATGACCTCAGTCTTTCCAGGTGATTTTGGGATTGGGTAGGTTGACCAGTCTTCTCTGACCTCCTTCCTCTGGTCATTCACGATTTCTTTCTTTTAATCCTTCTCCAAGAAATATGCTATTGAATATCCAAAAGCTAAGTTCAAGGTATATCAGGTTTTATTCTTGTTTCTCTGAAGCCCTTGATTTTCAATGGATGCTTTTCTTTCCTTCTGAAATTTCTTGTAATAGAACCACCACCCTTTCCCACTATCTCTACCCGGATCAAAGTAAACTGGTCTCTACTATTTGCCTTTAAGAGTAATTTACTGGCACCTGGAAGGTAGATTGAAAGGCCCGTATCCTCCCTGCTCCCTGTTTATTTAAAATGTTGTCTTTCTTGGGCAGCACCTGTAGCTCAGTGAGTAGGGCGCCAGCCCCATATCCTGAGAGTCAAACTGCAACCAAAAAAGAAAAAAAAAGGAAAAAAATGTTGTCTTTCTATTATACTTTAAAATGTTACAAAAATGGAATTTCCGTATAGTCTTAATTCAGCTCCATATATTAGTATTTTATACAATCACAGTACATGATCAAAATCAGATTAATGTGAATATACAACTATTAACTAATCTACAACCTTATTCAGATTTTATCAATGTCCCTCAATGTCATCTTTTTGGAGCAGGATCCAATCCAGTATTACATGTTGCAGTTAGTTGATAAATATACTTGGTCTTCTTTGATCTGGCATAATTCTGTCTTTTTTTTTTGAGACAGAGTGTCACTTTGTCACCCTTGGGAGAGTGCTCATAGCTTACAGCAACCTCAAACTCGGGCTCAGGGCAGCACCTGTGGCTTAGTGAGTAGGGCATGGCCCCATATACCTGGCCCCCGGCCAAACTGCAACAACAACAATAAAAAATAGCTGGGCTTTGTGGCAGACGCTTGTAGTCCCAGCTACTCGGGAGGCTGAGGCAAGAGAGTCACCTAAGCCCAAGAGCTGGAGGTTGCTGTGAGCTGTGATGCCACAGTACTCTACTGAGGGCAACAAAATGAGACTCTGTCTCTAAAAAAGAAAACAAAAAACTCTTGGGCTCAAGTGATCCCCTTGCCTCAGATCCTGAGTAGCTGGGACTACAGGCGCCCACCTAGCTATTTTTTTAAGAAACAGGGGTTTCCCTCGTGCTCAGGCTGGTCTCGATCCTGTGAGGCTAGGAAATCACCCACCTTGGCCTCCCAGAGTGCTAGGATTACCGGCGTGAGCCACCATTCCCGGCCATCTTTCATCTTTCTATGTCTTCCATGGTCTTGACACTTTTGAAGAGTACTGGCCTTTTGTAGATTCTGCAGTGTAGCGTGTTCCTCAATTTGAAGGTGTTTGATATTTTCTCATGATTAAATTCGCATTATGCATTTGAGGCAAGAATACTCCAGAAGTGATGTGTCCTTCTCAGTGAAGTGTTATCAGGGGACTCATGAGGTCAGTTTGTGACATTATGAGTGATGTTAATTTTAATCACTTGGGTAAAGGGATGTCTGACAGTTTTCTACTGCAGAGTCATTGGGGTTATTTTTTCATTATATTATAATTAATGTCTTCTGGAGAAATACTTTAAGCTTATATAAATGTCCTATTCTAATCTTGCTTTTACTTACTAGTCTTTACATCCATTGATGATGCTTGCATGACGAAGTTATTACCAGTTGTTTGCCAAATGGCGGGGTCTTTTTGTGTCCATGATTTTTTTCCTTTATTCATTAGAATCTTACTATTAGAAAGAGATTTTTCGGCTCAGTGCCTGTGGTTCAAGTGGCTAAGGCGCCAGGCACATACACCTAAGGTGTATGGTTCAAATCCAGCCCAGGTGGTTCAAATCCAGCCCAGGCCTGCCAAACAACAATGATGGCTGCAACCAAAAAAAAAATAGCCGGGTGTTGTGGCAGGTGCCTGTGGTCCCAGCTACTTGGGAGGCTGAGGCAGGAAACTCACTACTTGCTTGAGCCCAGGAGTTGGAGGTTGCTGTGAGCTATGACGCCACAGCACTCTACCCAGGGCGACAGCTTGAGGCTCTGTCTCAAAAAAAAAAAAAAAAGAGATTTTTCTTCTTCCTCATTTATTTACTGAATTATATAAGTATGGGCTGGAATATCTTTTGTTCTATAGGTTATAATCCATGACTTTCCTTATTTTATTGCCTAAATTCTCATACATTTGACCCCCTTGAGTTGACTCCTGTGTCCTTTCCATGTGAACTGTTATTTTATTTATTTATTTTTAATACTTCTTTATTTTCTGGCACCACAAAGTATTCTCAGTTGATTTTGTACTTCCTTGCTCTAGCCCTGGAATAAACAAATTTCCCAGGGAACACTGACTTCTTTTACTAGAAGATGATATTTTGAAACTGGGATTAGATGTGCTGACTGCTTCTGAAATATCATTGCTTCCAGGCCCTCAGCTGGAAATACAGCTATGAAATACCTGTATCTGTACATATACACATCTCTGTTTATATGTGTGTATATATAGATAATCCCTGAGTTCATATAACATCTCCAATTTCAGTTCACCACAGGATTCATTCTAGCCTTCTCCATTTCTTTTTCTTTTCTTTTCTTTTTTTTTTTTAAGGCATAAAACTTTATTAGAATCTGTGTCTTCCTCCCCTCAATAAGTCAAAGAACTTTAAGACATTTTGAAGACATTTGGGGAAATTTTAAAATGAGGTGCATATTACTGCATTAATATTAACTTTCATAGGCTGAAAACAGTCTTATGGCTATAAAGGAGTATACATTTTTCTGGGAGCTACAAGCTGAAATGCTGCCTGATGTCTAAACAGCGTTATGAGGGTATTTGAATAGAACCATGTGACTATTCTACAGGTAAAAAATAAAGGAGAGTCACAAATGCTCTAGGTCTTTCTGGAGTTCTCTGCCCCTTCCCTGATTAACTCTTAGAAAAGGCAAGGGGAGTTGGGGGACTAGACTCAGGAGAGACTGGGTGGCTCCTGCCACCCAAAACATGTACTGGTAGGCTGAAGAAAAAGAGTAAGGCTTGCTCTGATCTTTCCCACTGTTCTCTTTTTTCTTTTTCAAACACAGAACCGCTCAGACTTTCCATTTCTTTTTCTTCTAACTCCTTTCTTTGACAGTGAAAAACACCTGTCTCTCATTAACTACAATGTAGTAACCTCCATAGCTGACCACCTCCCTGCGTTGACCACCTCCTAAGTTGACCTAATTTTCATAGACCAGACGTGTACTGCTTGTATGTATCAGTACCGTATACGCCTGGTTCCTTACATTGATCACCTGTGTATGTTGACTAGTTTGTTATAGTCCCTTGGGTGGTCAGCTTATGAAGGTTCTATTGTATTTATTTATTTTATTTATTTGCTCTATCCTATGTAGAAAGTAGTTTAAGAATTACTGACCTGGGGCTCGGCGCCTGTGGCTCAAGCGGCTAAGGCGCCAGCCACATACACC